ATCGTGCGGGTATGGAGTGGTTGCTCAAGCGCGGTCGCGGTTTGCTCTCCTATTGTCTGGTCGGCTATATTCTTGATGGTGTCCAGCCAGCTGTCCGTCTAGGCTTACGACTGACCGATGGAGGAAAAGCTGCAGTTAAAGTGAGAGCAGCAAAAGAAGATGCTGCCTCAGTGGTGAGTCTGGTCAGCCCCCCAACCCAAGTCATTTCCAAGTTTCACAACAGGCTAGCGCCGCCATGTCAGCGTGGCCAATCATGGCCAACGATAATGGCAGCTAGTGAGATACCTCAGAATGCCGCCAAATGTTGGTGTTACCGCCCATACTTCACTAGCATACCATAGCAACTGTTCTTCCTGTGTGCACAACCCATGTTTCCCTAAACTTCCCAGTTGTGACATCTTTGCCATCGATGTCCGGCAATGTCGAAACAAATTGCCTCATGGACATTCAATGTCATAGCGGCAGTCTCGTGGCTATGGTCGAGGTTGATGGCGAATCAAAACCCACGGTTCCCGTGAGATCATGAATCTTCATCCATTATATCCCATCTTGCTCCGATATGGTCTTTTGTTCTCGGTTTCGGCCCCAGGTTGCGGCAACCTGTTTCTTTTAAACGATCAAGGTTCGAGAGGTGAGTCCATGGCCGATATATGAGATCCCAGGAGTGGCCACCATGTTTTCGGGTTTGTGAAGGAATTGGCACTCGGTTTCGATGTGATAATGCTGTACAGGGTGGTGTCTGAATTTCGGCCGAAGAAAGACTTGAGCATTGTTTTATCGCTGAGTGAGTTCCGCGTGTCAAGCTACAATGTCAGTAGAAAGTTCAGTTCCCAAGGAAACATTGAAGAGTTCATCCCCCTCTTTATAGTCCCTTTTTTTGTCGCCGATTCTCCATGGTGCTTGACCGCTGCAGTTGACTCCGTCATCTCGTCATGTCGTCTCTTCGGCTTGCCGTGCGCTTCGGACCTGCTGCGTACCCCACCAGCCACCAAGTTGGAGTCTGGCAAGAACTGGATTCTATGTCGACCCATCAACATGCCCGCATCATGTCGAAGTCCCATTTCCACGCCCAATGTGGTGGGTGTGTAACTTTGACTTTGGAAATTGTCTTCCCCGTAATGAAAGTCGAGGTGGTCGATTGGTGGTTTCTCTTCCACTTCTCAGGTGTGTGCTGGGTTTTTTGCGTGTCCTCATCCCTCCACATGGGCCAGGCATTGGTGTTGGTCAACAAGGTACCTGGACTGGTCACCCGCATCACTCTGCTGGGTACACGACCATGGGGAATTGGGTGGCCCACGCGACGCCATGGTGCCTGCTGGACCTTGTCAATTTGCCTGGCAATCCTCTGAGCTGTGAAGTCATTCACAAGAGGACTTCCGACTGTAAAGCACTTGTCGTTGCTGTCGTGTACATAACGGATGTCCTTCGTATGAGGTGTCGTTCAATTGTCGAGCAGTGACCGTCTGCACTAACAATTTCTGTTGGAGCAGGGTACTTGATTGCTGTTAACAACAATGGATTCTATCGTCAATCAATCCACAACGATGGTCGGTAAAGACGCAAAATGAGTGGAAAATCGAAAGCACGGCTTGAAGAAGCGAGAAAAGGATGGAAAGAGAGGGAGAAACAGGCACAGAGGTGGGCGATCGGGCCATTTAATGTTCTGCTGCTTTCGGTGGCAGAGTCACTCACCCCTTTCGCCAATGCCCGCTATGTGCGGGAGCTAAAAACCCCCGCCCTAGCACAGGGTCGGGCGGGAAGACATCTGCGAACATGCAATCCCCTCGTCATCTGCCCGACAGCTTTGGAAGGGAATGGTCTCATTTCAGGCCATCTTTTCCTTTCTTTCCCAGTTGTCGCGCATGATTTGCTTTTGATTCATGTTCACTTGCCTCAGTATTCCATTGAGAAGCATCACATGGAGTCCCCAAGTGAAACTTCCAAGGCCGGTCAACATCCACACACCACGCACATCCATATCGCCGGCGTACGTAGGTAGGTACCTTGCGTTTGTGACCGACCCAACACCCACGCCCGCCAATCCCAAGTACGGTAGGTGAACCCGACACAATGGATGACCTGGTCCGGCTTATCTACTTACCCTTTTGCTGAATTGTCAAACTCCATCAACGAAGGCAATCAAGAACTTGACCCTTATTTCAACCGATAGGTATTTTACACACAGTGGCTTCAATGTTGCAAACGACCCTTGTCGAGTCAAGTCGAATCGAATCGTGGGAATCCTGAACTCACAAGTGATGGAACATTCCGCCAATTGGGCGATATTGTCTGATGATTGAATGTTCCCTTCCCTGGCTTGTGTTCTTGGACACTTCAGCTCCATACCTCTTCTATCGTGAAACAGAACGTGGGGTTTCAAGATCTGGACGTCCCACATTTGCCTGGAACATTGCAACTCGTGGTCTGACTACAACCGCTATCTTCACCGGCACGCACATTACACCCAAGCATCCTGATTGACAGTCCGGCTCCCGAATCCCTGATTGAGTTCCACAGTAATTTTCGTTCTCAGTCCGCTCCTCTTCCAGAATAAGACTTCCCTGTTGTTCCGTTTTGGGTCAGCTATGCACGACGTCTGTCCGACTTGTCCCACTGCTCACACAATTCAAGGTCATACAAGCGCTCTCGGAATTGGCGTGTCTCTCTTGTTGACTTTCGATGCTGCGACATGTACCTTGGGGAAGAAACACGGAAAGGGGCTGCGCCATGTTGATAGCGGCCAAATCATACATGCATGTAAAGTGGGAGGCATGTGAGCGCAGTTCCTTGCTGAAATCCAAGAGCTGTTCGACTTTGGCGGTAAGCAGGTGTGCTTTCGGACGAAGCAGCGCTCACAATTGGCAGAAGTTCTCCGTAAGTTTGTCTCAATACAGCGGTAAGGTTTCCTAATGTTGTGGTTCGAAGGTAAGAGATAGTGGTCACTGCGAAGACGCAACTACCTGTATTGATTTTGAAGACACAAAAGGAAGTCGACAGACAATAGAAAGAATCCTGACCGGGTTCAAATTCTCTTTAACTTCGATACATTAAGATACTAGGAGGTTAATCCAAAGATATGGGAAACTGTCAAGAATACATACGTTCACGAGGCACCTTCTTTCACGAATGGTGTTGGCTTATCATGTTTCTTGGACATCCGAGGAGCCGGAACGGATAAGTGGGGTTCAGTCCGGAGGTGTGGGGCCGTGGCCGGCAACTGGACCGGTACGTACCCTGAGCATCCGTAGGAGCGGTCTGCAATATTTACAACTCATATACACACAGATTTAGTGCCTACCTACAGATGGCCTTATAATAATGAAACGATTGAACACTAATCCAATCCGTTAAATAGTATCCTTGACATTTAACACACGGATGATGCTACAATGAACTTCCTGGATGGTCCGTGCAACCTGCCATAGCTGGACCGATGAACAAACGGTTCACAGTTCAGACGTTCAAGTGGTAAAACTTGGCCAAAAGAAATACATCAAGGAGAGAAACAATCCTGGAGATGCTTGACTCATGATTTCTCCTATGCAGAATGAGACATATTCTCTTCCGAAATTTGTCCCGTCAGGAGGCCAATTCTATCCCCCCAAACAATTTTCCTCGGCGATTGCAGCAAGGTCCGTCCAGACCAGAAGGTCTTGGCACTAACAACATCCAACGTCAAACCCAACGTCAACCCTTCCACCTCGCATCAGAACCACGACTTCCCACTTTTCCCAAAATCGCTTCTGCTTTCCAATCCAATCTCGCAGCAAAGCGGACTTCAACGACATTTCCAGTCAACATGCCGAAAAGGAAATCCACCCATGTTGAGTCTGAGCCTGAGCAGTCGACGCGTCGACGTTCTTCGCGGTTGAGCAAGGGTGTAGAGCCAACTGAGGAAGTTATGGCGCCTGTGAAAGAAGAGAAGCCCCAAGCACTTTCTACTGGGAAGAAGGGCGGGAGGAAACCAGCTGCTGTCAAGGAAGAGGAGGAGAATGAGGAGAAGAAAGTGGAGGTAAGTACACGAAAGCTGATGAGTTTCGTCATTTTACTTGGACCGACAGTTCATCACATGCCTGAACAACAACATCTCTTCATCACCTCATCACTGCCACTCCATTGTTCACTCAGCACTCGCCATACATGTAACCACAACTAACTTTCTCTAGTCACAACCACCGACCAAACGATCCCGCACAGCCAAATCCACCAAACCAACCCCATCCCCTTCCCAACCCCCAGTGGCAGCCAAGCCTCCCACTACCGCCACCACCACCACCACCACAGGCACCCCAGCCCGACAATACTGGCTCCTCAAAGCCGAACCCCTCCCCCGTCTTGAAAACGGCCACGACGTCCACTTCTCCATCGACGACCTTGCCGCCCGCACCTCCCCGGAACCCTGGGACGGCATCCGCAACTACTCAGCCCGCAACAACCTACGCTCGATGCGTGTTGGCGACCTTGCCTTTTTCTACCACTCCAACTGTGCCAACCCAGGCATCGTGGGCGTCATGGAAATTGTGCGCGAAGCCGAGGAAGATTGGACGGCTGTTGACTCAAAGGCTGCTTATTTCGATCCAAAGGCTAAAAAGGCCAAGGAGGAGGGCAAAGAGAATCCGTGGAGTTTGGTGCATGTGGAGTTTAGGGAGAAGTTTGAGAGGGAATTGGGACTGAAGGAGTTGAGAGAGTGGGGAAAAGGGGGAGGGCCGTTGGAGGGCATGGAGTTGTTAAGGCTGGGGAGGTTGAGTGTTAGTCGGGTTGGGGAGGGGGAGTGGGAGTTCTTGATGGACAAGGCTGGGGGGAGGACGGGGAGGTGACTACCCACTTGCTATGAAATGGGAGATGGGGGCCTCGGGGTAAAAGTGAACAGGGAGTGAAGTTAGTGATACCCACTGATGATGACGTTTCTTGAAGTAGACCGACGTCGGATGAAGTCCCGAATATCAAATTGGAGATTTGTGCGCACGAAACCAACGCCAAGACCAAAAGGAGTTCGTGTCATCAATAAAACCATTAAGGCAAAAACCGACGATAAACTAATTACTCTTTCATGGGTATCATTAACCAATTCTACCTCTAAGCCTTCTCCTGTCCCAACTCCGCCTCCAATCCCTTCTTCGTAGCCTCCAGCACCGTCCTGATCGCCGGATCCAAGCTCTCGATCTCCAGGATCTTGCTGGCCCAATCCACAATCTTTCCAGCAAGCGCCTTCTTGTCCTCCGTCTGCTCCGCATACGCCTTGCGCAGCCTGGCCAGCGACTCGCGCAAAGCCTTGGGGAACTCCGGCGTGTTGATATCCACGCCAATAAGCGGTTGCCTGATAAAGCAGCTCGCAGTGCACGCCGACTTGAAGAACGACTCCTCCATAGCGGAGAGCACATGCTGGGTAATCTTGGATTGGCAAGAGACGTGGCCAAAGGTGGCAAACATGTCGAAGAAGGCTTCGCATGCCGCAGCGGCGTAGAACGGCTGCTTCTTGGCAATGTCGAAGATGGCCATTGGGATGGCGCCCGACAGAGCGGGTGATTGCTCGAGCTTGCGGGTAGCTTCGGCGTCGAAGACGGGCTTTTTCTTCTTCTCGCCGGCATCCGGATCGGGCAAGATGAGTTCGTCACCGTCGACTTCGTCATCCTCGTCTGAGTCGTCCAGCGCAATATGGTCGCCCTCGATTTCAGTACCCTCGGTAGCCTTGATGGCCTCGAGCGGGTTGACTCCCCTCCGCACTCCCTTGCCACTCTTCTTGGCCTCTATCCTCGCCAACCACTCCATCTCGCATCTTGCATACTCCACCCACAGACTAACCTCCCCAGTACAGAACCTGCACCCTCTGAGGAAATAGGCCCTCGCTCTCTCCATATCGCCGTGCACCGCCGCATTGCGTCCTGCCATTGTCCACAGCACTGCGCTCCTCGGGTGCATACGGATAGCCTTGGTGATGACCCGGCGCCATCGCTTTGTGGCCTTGATCTCGGCGGCAAAGTCGAGATAGGCGATCCAGAGCGGGATGCACCCGGGGTGTTTCATGACGGCGCGCTCGAAGATGCCAAAGACGCGGGCCTCGGAGGGACGGGGGTTGGAACCACGGATTTTGAGACGCTTGCAGCGCTTGGCCCGGAGGCGGTCCATGGAGCGCTCCCATTGGACGTACGAGAGGAAGTCGGAGGGCTTGGTGCCTGGGGAGAGGACGAGATGCTCGAAGTCGGAGCGTTTGGTGACGAGAGAGCGGATTTCATCCTGTAGACATAGTAAGGGGGTTGTTAGAGGTGGCGTCAAAGATGAAAGGTAGAGAGTAGGGTGAGATGAATGGATAGACCAACCTTATTGAAGATTTCCTTTTCCTCAAACTCGCGGAGCTGGGGAGCTGCCCGTTCGAGATAGAAGCGTGCCTTTTCCGCGACGCTGCCCATAGTGTCGGATTAACTGTGACCGATCGTTGGATGGTGATGTGGTAGTGGTAATCGCAGCAGAGTGCTGTCGTGGTAGTTGAGGTGCTCGAGACGGAGGCTGTCTGTTCCCGATGTGGATGTGGCTGTCGATGTTATCTCGGTCGGCAAGTATCACCAAACAAAACAAATGGACGGGAGTTGGTTGTACTTTGCAGTTGTCTGCAGTTGCACAGGCCGGGTGGGACAGAAACTTTTTAGTGGAGACCTCGCTGCCCTGCGGACAAGGATGGTTCTATCCGTCGATTCGTTGCATTGCTGCAGGTTCAGGTTCAGGTTGTTCACCGTGCGTTCACCGAAACCGGTGGTCTGTGCTCACTTGTGCTAAGGCTCCCTTCTTCTTTTGTTGACCGTGACTCGGACGACGTGAGCGGCCTGTTGGATGGAATTTCTTGGAGAAGATGGAGAGGGAGGTTGGGGTTTGTCTCCGGCTTGGCACTCCAGATCTTCCATTTTTTTTCACGATGCACCACCTATTTCCTCCGGGAGGGGCGGGCGGGCTGGGCGGCCACGATCACCACTGACGTGCAGTGCCTCCCGTTGGGGCCTCTACCTCTAACACCCGGGCCGCCTCGCACACCCGCGGAGTGTTGAAGTGGTCCGAGTACCCTGTCTGGGAATACTAGTGGTCTTGGCGGTACTTACCTACCCTGGCCCTGTTAACCGGGCATGGAAGTGACATTGGAAGATCCCGCCCATGGACTGACTTATAAGCGGCACTAACAACCCAATTCGCCAATCGACGCTCGTCAATAGTCCCGTAATCGCCGGGCTGTTAGTGCTGCAATGATTCAGTTAGGTGACAGGGACCTGAATCACGATCCTGCGCTTTGGCTTCCCTTTGGTGAGCTTTTCTTTTCAGACTGAGGCATGCCGCCGGTGTTTGTCATCGGACTACATGCCGAGCTTCCCATCCGTCGGGTGTCTCGAGTCTTGTTCTTTTTTTTTCTCTCAAGCTTCATCGGTTTTCTCTCTTTTATTCCTTCTTTTCTTCCCTTTCTGGCCTCACCCTCTTCGTGGCCCGTCATTGTGTTTACTCGACTGGCGATCAGAGGCCCTGACATGTTGTCCACCAAATCCCACTAACTCCGGATCCGACGACCCCTCCACCATTGCCAATCTTTCCTGGAGAATCCAGCCAAAACTGGACGCTGCGCGACAAGTTGAAAGCTCCAGGTCCGCGATATCTCCGCCGCGAACACAACAACAACTGCCAGTCTGCCACCATGGCGTCGTCCAGGTACAAGGACAAGGATGCCGGCGTCGTGCTCTCCTTCAACGGCCAATGGATCAGCTGGACACACACTGTCGTTGCCTATGGTATGTCAATATTTACTTGCCCGCACTGCATAGAGGCTATTCCCAGCAACCCCGGCATGTCATCATACATACCTACCTGTGCTAACACCTCCCAATGCGACACCAGCTGCCTTCCTTAGCGCCCTCATCATCGGATGCGCCCTCCACTACCACAAGATCGTGAAGAACGAGTGGTATGGCTACCCCGACGAGTGGTTTCCCTCAGTCTCTGCCACCATTGGCGATCGATATCCCGAACGATCCATATTCATGATCTTTATCGCCATCACTTCCGGTACGCTCAACAATACAATACAAACCCCCCAACCCACCACAAAATGCGCCTTGCGCCGCCATACTAATATCCGGCAGGTCCGAGATTCGCCCTTGTTGGACTTTGGTACCTCTTGACTGCCAAGCCCGGCCGTGTTCTCCCCAAGGCAATTGCCATCTCCGGTGTCATCCGAACTCTTACATGCGGCGGCTGGACCTACATCACCTCGACCGACGACCATGACTGGCATGATATCCTCATGATCTTGTACATCGTCTTTACAATCCCTTGGACTACCGGATGCATCGCGCTGAGCCCTCCGAACGCAAAGGCGATCAAGTACAGAAAGTGGATTGCCGGTAGCTTCTTTGGCACCTTGGTTCCCTTGGTCTACTTCTTTATCCAGCACAAGGTCCACCGCGTGGCCGGAGGTAGGTTCCCAGTCCTGGAGACACTCTTGCGCCAAACGGAATACAATGTGCTAACCTTTGCGCCAATGCGCCGCACAGCTTACACCGTTTACGCTTTCTTCGAATGGGCCCTCATTCTCTTCGATGTTGCCTTTGATGCGGTAACTGCTTTGGACTTTGACACGTTCGAGGTGGTTGTCAAGGATGTCAAGGGCGCGAGCAAGGGGTACGTCCAATGGCTCCCACGATAAGCCTCTGTTCTTCTATTTTGCGCGCTTCTGTACATACACAGCCCTGTGTGCGATGCCCAGATCAAAAAGACAAGCCAGATTCTAAAACAGACTTTTTGTATAGTGCCAACGCCTCGTCCGTTCCTGCTGCCGTTCTGGAGAAGGAGTAAGCAAGCCATTGTCCCTTTCCGCTCCTCCCGTTCGTCCACTAACCAAACTGTTACACAGGAAGGAGAAGGCCACTGCTGGCGTATACTCTGCAGGGTTCAACCTGGGCCCTGCTCTCGACATTGCCGCTGATGTTTACCATGGCGTACGTACAACACTATACACCACAAGCCCTTGGAGGAGTTCTGTCTGACATGGTCGTAGTTCGTCTTCTGGTCCACCCTGACCAGCTTGGGTCTTGTCATCTGGTGTAAGTCAATGTCTGAATCTCCTCACCCAGCCAAGCGTACTGATTTCTGTAGATTTCCCTCTCTGGCACATGGGTATATCTGGCTACGAAGCCTTCGTCATGGCCACCATTTCTCCCGTCCTTCTCGGCATTCGGCCTTTGCGCTCCCTCGTTGTCAACCACCAGCGCCTCTTCCATGTCCTCTCGCTCGCTGGTTTGTTGGCCTACAAGGTCCACGACCCCGTCTACCGCCTCTTCACTGTCGGTTTCGGTGTCTTTATGGGCTGCCTTGCTTGGGCTGCTACTTGGTCTTCGGACTCTGTGCATCCTTCTAGGCTCGAGAGCCGCGTCATTGCTTGGCTCGCCGGTCTTCTCATGTCCTCCATTGCCAAGTTCGCCTGGTACACCAACAATCCAATCTGGCCCGTCATGCACGCCGAGAACGGTGGGTGGAACGGGACTGGTCTTGTTCTTGCCATCTTGGCTGTGCTCAGGTTCACTCGCAAGGCTCCCCTTAACAGCTGGGGCGTCAGCGAGCAGAAGAATGGCTCTTCCCTCCTTTCCGCCCTTGGTATTGGTGGTCTCTTCTTCGCTATCCACTCCCTGCTCTCGGATACCAGCACCATGATTCTCTGGGTTTGGGGTGGCTTCCCTGTCCGTGGCCCTGTCTCCAACGTCCATGCCTACTACACTATTGCTGCCATGACCGGCGGTCTTCTCATCGGTGTCTTCAGGCCTGGCATGGTTACCAATTGGACCGCATACGGTGTTGCCTGCGTTGGTGCTGCCATGCTCACCTTGTATGAGCAGTGGTTCGGCTACTATGGCGCCTTGATCCTGACCACCTACCTCATGGCCATCGCCGTGCCCATGATCAGCAAGGCTGCCAAGAAGAACCCAGCTGTCACTTTTGGTGTCGGCTTCCTGTTCTACAACCTCCTTGTCCTCTTCCACGTTTGGGTGGTAGCCTACGCTTTCGTCCCTGGTGGCCCTTACGTCCGCGAACACACCGATTGGATCATGCTCACCACTATGCTCACCATCGGCGCCGGTGTCTTTGACCTTGTTTCGGGACAAGCCAGCCACAAGTACGCTGCTTCCACTGACCGTCGCAGCTCTTCCCTCGGCCACCGCAAGTACCACGTTGGCATCCTCGGCCTCCTCAACATTCTTTTCCTCGTCGCCAACTTCCTCCGCTTCCCCTCGTATGACTACAAGCCCTACCACGCCGAAGACCGCCTCTTCACGGCCGGCATTTGGACTATCCACTTTTCGCTCGACAACGACATGTGGTCTTCTGAGTACCGCATGCGCGACCTCATCAAGGAGTTGGAGGTTGATGTCATCGGCCTTTTGGAATCTGATCTCCAGCGAATCATCATGGGCAATCGCGACACTACCCAGTTCCTCGCCGAGGACCTTGGTATGTACGTTGACTACGGTCCGGGTCCCAACAAGCACACGTGGGGTGCCGCTTTGCTCTCCAAGTTCCCGATTCTCAACTCCACCCACCATTTGCTTCCCTCTCCAGTGGGTGAACTCGCTCCCGCAATTCACGCCACGCTCGATGTCTACGGCTCCCTAGTGGACGTCTTTGTCTTCCACTCCGGCCAAGAAGAAGACCCCGAGGACCGCCGTCTCCAATCCGAATACCTCGCCAAACTCATGGGCTCCATTCCGGCCGACCGGCCCGCCGTTCTGCTTTCTTATCTTGTTACCAAGCCCCTGGAAGGAAATTACAACACGTACGTCTCCGACATTTCGGGCATGCACGATGTCGACTACACGGATTGGGACAGGTGGTGCGAGTATATTCTTTACAAGAATCTTCTCCGCACTGGTTACGCCCGCGTGAGCAGGTCAACCATCACAGACACGGAGTTGCAGGTTGCCAAGTTTATCGTGCCCAAAGACGATGCGGATAAGGGGAGGATATTGGCGGCGAGCAAGGAACAGAGGGATAGGAGGGTGGAAGAACAGCAGGTGCCGGATGGGTGGAGATTCCCGGCGCTGTTTAGGGGCGAGGGAGTCAGGGGACATCATTATCATGTCTTTGATGAGCCTAGGTACTATTTTTATTTCTAGGGAGGGATAGGAAATGGATCCGCAGAGAGTGAGAGGAGGCAAACAAGGGGAGAGATAAGACATCGGCAGGAAGGAGTTTACTTGGGTTTATCTTGTCAGACAGGCCGGACGTTTGTGAGGCGACTGGGGAATGATTTGACGGGTTAATGATAGATGAAAACTCAGAAGCTGTTAGGGGATGCTGTAGTACCTAGGTAATTGTATTTTATGGGTTTACGGGTCATGAATCTAGGATTTGGCATTTCCGCGGTCGTTGGTGTGCCGCCGAGGTCAACTTAGAGTCCAGGAACTACTACATTTCCGAGCAGTACTCGTTTCAAGAAGTAGTCGGCCTTGAACTACTGCTGCTTGGTAAAAAGGTCAGTTTACAAAACAGTTTCTCAAGTTGCCATACCTCTAGGCACCTCTAAGCACCTAACGTTGTAACATTGCACTTGCACATGGCTGGTGAGACTGACCTACCATGTCATGCTTTAGATCGTCAAGGACTATTTATCCTACCTTGGCCCACCTATGATTGAGACGATACATACAACACATCGGCAACAACCACATGGACATGTGTCGATTCTACGGTTTTGAGGATCCGGGGTACTTCAAGGTCGCGGCAGCTTTTCAACGGATTATCGAGGTATCTGTTGGCTCTAGCATCACTACAGTCTGCATCCGCGCAAACCCTTCGTCAGCTGACGGACGCTTGAACCGGGTTGGTATCATGGCAGGCCCTAGTGATGTTGCGGCACGAACTTTCCAACGACTAGTCGCACCTCACACGCCCCTCGCCACAGATTGAAGCGTCGCCACAATGAGAAAGGAATATGGGAGCTTGCTAGGTCATGTTTGGTAGAACGGAGGGGATCCGGAGGCGAGATAAGTGAGTGCTGTTCATGTCTCTAGCGACTTCTTGGACAGATGCTTAAGATATAGTTGGACATCATGCTTAACGAGCAAGAAAAGGTATACTGTATGGTTCGTAACAACGAGTTCTTCAGGGTCTTTGTTTGTGAGGTCTTACTTTCTCTTCATAAAAGCTGTCTCTATCCAGTCGACCAGTGCTATAAATCCAACTTCCCCTTTACTAGGTAGGTACCTTCCATTCATGCTCTTTTTACACCTCAATGATACCGATGGTGTAGGCTAGCGGAAAACGTCAGATTTGTCAATCTATGTAGAGGTAGTTCCAACTGCCATCAACATTGTCAAAGTTTGATCTTGTATAGGTATATGTACTCGTACCGTTACGGTAGGTTGATAGGTATTGTACGAAAACGAGCAAGCATGGACAGGGAAGGATTAATTTCGGTACTGAGATGCATAGTGCAAGGAATAGGCCATGGAAGATGATCTTTTGGGGAACTGCAAGCGCACCAGCGTGGTAGGATATTCCCCTGCCAACCTGAAGTTTTCTTGTTCAGGTTCATGACACTGTGTTGGCAAGAATCAGTTGATGATTCAGCTCTGAGGGTATTGTCAAGAGTCATGACGTGCAAGAACAATCATTATCCCTTTCAACACAAAATAAGTAGCAAGGGGTAGAAGTATGCATAATAGTCATAATATTCATTGATCATCAGGGCGTCTATCCAAACATAACCCATTTTCTCTTGGGCCGGACCCCATTCATCTTCTCCAAGGGTATATTCAACTCTTTTTAACACAACTTCAAACCCCACTCGAGGGTTATCCTCACCAGCCTCGCCATTACAGGCCCTTCTCGCCGACTGTCTGCCCTTCCATCCCCACGGCTTCCTCCTCGTCCACGACCGACTTGGAAACAACACCATCCTCCCTGTCCCTCACACCGATCTCCGCCGTAGTAAAGGCATCACAGGTATCCCTGTACCACGGCCAAAAGTTGACGGCAAGCGCATACGTCCACGCCACAGCAAAGAAGGCTAGGGGAACAACCATACTCATGGCCGTATCATGCATATCCGCCACGGCGCCCATCAGCGGGGGGACCACAGCGCCACCAAAGACACCGGCGACAAGGAAGCCTGAGCCGCGCTTTGTGTGCCTACCGAGCCCGCGCATACCAAGCGCCATGATGGTGGGGAAGCAGATGGACTCGAAGAAGAGGGTGACGTAAAGCATGGACATGCCCGTGTTTTCTCTCTGGGTGATGGTAGGGGCGACGAAGATGATGCATGCAGTGAGGAAGAGAAGGAAAACCTTGCGCGGGCGGACGAAGTGCATGATGGCTGCGCCGGCGAAGCGGCCAACGGCGAATGTCCCCTGAGCACCAGCCAGGAACTGAGCTCCCAAGGCGGAATCGGTGTTCTTGCGGGTTTCCGTCACGTAGTTGATGAAGTAACCGGCAATGGCAATCTGCGCGCCCGTGTAGCAGAATTGGGAAAACGAGGCGTGGAAGAGGCGGTATTGTTTCCTGAATGGCTGGTCGGCATCGCCAGCATGGGTTTCAGCAGCCTGGTGCTGCATATCTGCGTCGGTGATCTCGGGCAGTTCGATGAGGAAGAAGACGACGGCAAGGATGTAGACAAAGACGGCGATGGCCAAGTACACCCACTGCACGTTTTGGAGGGCGAGGTTATCGTCGAAACCGAAGAAGACGTACGATCCGAGCACGGGGGCTACAACGGTACCAATACCGTTGAAAGCTTGGGCAAAGTTGATGCGGATTTCCGAGTACTTGGGCGGGCCGCATACAGTGATGTACGGGTTGGCGGCCGTCTCGAGAGAGCCCAGACCGTTGCCGATGATAAAGATGCAAACACAGAAGCCGGCGAAGGACTTGGCCTTGATGCACGGGATCGCGAGAAGGGCGCCGAGGCCATAGAGGAAGAGACCCCAGATAAAGACGGCACGGTAGCTGAAGCGGCGAAGAATGTAGGCGGCATGGCCAAGGGAAGCGAGGGGGTAGGCACTGGGGAGAAGAAAAAGTGGTTAGCGGAGGTGGTGGTAGGAGTGGGGCGGAGAGGAGAGACATACCCAAAGTAAGCGGCTTGAAGACCAGCAGATCTCGCCTTTGTAATGTGGAGTGTCTCCTGGAAGTGCTTGTTCAGGGTGTCGAGCAGGCCATAGCTGAAGCCCCAGAGGAAGAAGAGGATGGTGACAAGGCAGAGAGGAAGGAGGGATTCTCGGAGGGAGAGCTCGGCTGCCTTTGTGACCTTGTCATCGCGCACTCGCAAGGAGCGCCTCTTCCACCACTCTCTCGAGAACATGGTGTCGAGTGTCGCGGAGTGTCTTGTTGACTGGACTGTATTGTCCGTGTACGGGTGGGTGGGACAAGAATGAATGGAGAGCGAAGTTCCAAAATCACCGACAGGGCATGGGACTGAGGTTGTTGGGCCTGGGGGACAAAGTATCGGAGGAAGGATGCTGTGCCAGTCAACAACGAGGGCGTCGTGGCAACATAAATATACAAGACGGATCCAGACTCTGTTGAGTTGCACCTGTTCAGCGATGCTGTATCTCTCCAGCCGGTTAAACGATCAACCGGGATAAAATCAGGGCAGCCTACCTAGCACGAGCTGGGCTGCGTGGTCTAGTCTAGCTAGTTCCATTGCAACCATTGTTCCGTGATGAGGAGGGTCCCGTCAGGCTGGGGACATGTTGTCTATCAACGGTGTCTAGCCAAATGGGTAGGCCATGTCCCGAGCTATCGAAAGGTTCCCCATGGGACTTGTCGTCATGCCGCCTGCATTCTAGACTGATTCTAGCCCGACCTAACTGAAGAGGCTCAAGGTCAGCTGGGTTGTCTCGCGCTTGTCTCGTTGTCTGGGGATTTCGGGTCCCATTCTGGAGCCAGTTGTGTCTGCGGGCGTCGATAGACCTCCAACATCGGGCCGATTCTGCATCTTTGTCCGGGGTCGTCCGGGGTTTTGTCCGTCGATGTTCTGGTTCTTCTCTGCCGGGGCCCCCTGGCACCCCCACAACACGGGGTAGGAGGCGGGGGAAAGGGGCATCGATCACCAGTAGGCAAGTGGAGTGATGGTGGTTGGTTGAGTTTTGTTCGTGTTCGTTCGACGGACTACGAGGTGGTACTGTCCACCACGCATCTGGGGGGTCTGGGGCGATTTGTTGCTGACCGCTTGAGAATGTGCTGTTCGTGACAAATAACCTCAGCAACAGTTCCAGGACCGGGAAAACGTCGGCTATGTACAGTGTAGAGGTAGGTACTAGAGGTCGGTTGGGGGAGGGGGGGGTTCACTTTCCATGCTGCTTGAGCCAACAAGTCCTGGCAGTGGTGTGAGAACTGAACTCATGGAACGCTGAGAAGCCCAAGGGGGGTCTGTGGGGGAGAGTCTCCATCGACCCCATCTTTCACTGCGGGGAAGGAGGTGTCAGTGGTGGTACTCCCCCATGGGGAACGAATGGGGAAGGCATGTTTAGCAGGGTTAGCGCTGACGCCCGATGAACGCCGATTGGCTTACGGTTCAGCACGGGCCCCACGTCACCCCGAAGTTTGCCCGTTTCGTCCCCGCCATGCCAACTCCGCATTTGACATGCTGCCTTGGTACGGCTCCAGTCGTTTAAGCATTCGTTAAGCTCACCGAGTAGAGGTACTGTAGTCGTCGGTTAGCTCGGTTACTTAGAGGTAAATTATGTAGGAGCATGCATTTGGCCAAACCAGCCATGTGGGGTCATCCTTCCGTTTGGGGTTCACTCACAGCCAAGTGGAAGCTCCTGCCTGGAAAAGGACTCGGAACCTTCCACTTCCAACGAGGACAGTCGGTTGGCTTGGCTCTAAGCGAGGGATTCCACCCCGTGCATCTTCAACAAATTGTTGAGAGGGAAGGCTCAGGGCAAGGTACAAGGCAACCTCCCTTATCTCTTTCATCCCGCTCCATCAGCTCATGCTAAGGTAGGTAACCACTAGGTGATTCCGGGAAGCCATCATTATCTCCCATCATGCTTGACCCGAACCTCAAATTAATATATCAAATCCCGAATATGTTCTTCACGCCGAACAAATGTTAGGTCTGCCTACCAGGAAGTAAAGGCATCACTCGCTCCTCCAGTTTCTGTTTTGGTGATTCAGAGACATCCACGGAAATTGTACACAATTACAGTAAGCATTAAAGTGGGTCTATCTGTCTAACCATTCAGGTTTCGAAGGAAAGAGGAAAGGGCAACGTATTGGGTGGGTAGACCACAGGAAAGAACTAAAGAGAGGGGGCATGGGGCACATCCTGCTAGGGAACATGGGGTGTAGAAAAGCGAACCCAACCGTGGTATCATCCATTACCAAACAGAAAAAAAAAAAGAAGAAAAAAAAAAAAAAGAAGAGAAAGAAGCCAAACCCACATGGAGGACAAAAATCACCAGTTCAGTGACAGGACTCCTACTCCTTCTGTCCGTTGGATGCCTGTCCCCGTCTCTCCACCTCCGACATCTGTCCAGCCATTCGTCCAAATTGCCACTCTGGCAGCGTGATGCCCGTCTGCTCATTGATGGTTGTCATCAACGGCGGCAGCATCTGGTAGATATTCCTCATGGTCGCCATGCTGCTCTGCTGCTCGCCAGCACCACCCGAAGAGCCCGCCTCGGCGCCCGTGTTCCAGACGCTGATCTTGGGCTGCAATCCCCTGATAGCCTCAGCATTCGCCTTGGCCAGCTCGACATACGTGCCCTTCTCGATCATCATGTACTGCAGCAGGCCCTGAGGACCACCAAACGCGTGGCTCATCTTGGCGTACGCCTCCGCCATGGCGCTCATACCTTCTGCCGCCCTCAGCTTCTGCTGGAGCTCCGCATCCGCCAGCTTGATGGCCGCGTACGCCTGCGCGTCGGCACCGACCTTGGTCTCATACACGTCCGCCTCGGTATGCTGCTTGGCCTTTTCAAAGTTGGCCTTGGCTTCCGCCTCGATCTGGTACACATTGACGTCCACGCCGACCTTGGTCTTGTAGGCGGTCGCCTCGGTCGCCTGCTTGTCCTTCTCAAAGTTGGCCCGCGCCTCCTTCTCAATCTCGTACGCTTTGGCGTCAGCCGCTTGCTGCTTGGCTTCACGCGCGATGCTCGCCTTGACCACGTCCGTGGCACGGAGACGCTCCATCTCGGCCGCGGCGCGCTTGATCTGCACCTCGCGCTTGAGATCCTCATCCTCCGCCTCGGTCTTGCGCGCGGCTTGGATCCCCGCAATTTGCACGTCCCGGTCGAGCTCGACTTTGCGTGTCTTGAGGACGGCCTCGGCTGTCGCCTTCTCAATGTCCCGCTCCGTCTTTTGGACCTGCGTCTCGGCTTGGATCTTGGCCAGCTCGCGGTCCTGTTCTCCCTGGATCTTGGCAACCTCCCGCGCTTCTTCACCCTTGCGCTTCTGCGTGCCCACGTTACCGCGCAGCTGGGCCTCGGCGACGTCAATCCGGGCTTGGTTAGTTGCACCTTCGTGCGCTTTTTGGGACAGCGAGGCAAAGTAGGTCGATCCCGGAGCGTCCTTGAGCTCCTTGACGTTGGCGTTGTAAATCTTGAGGCCAAATTGGTCTAGTTCGGATTGGATGTTGCGGAAGATGCGTCGCTTGAACACTTCACGCTCCGAGAAGATCTCTTCCATGGTCATGGCCGAGACAAGCACACGGACTTCACCTTCGATGATGCCCTTGACGATGCCCTCGAGAAAGTCATGGTTGTTGGGACCCTTGTCGCGGCCCGAATCGGCCAGGAGCATGGCGAACTTCATAAGGGCATCGCCTCGGTCTTCGCGGCGAACTGCCGAGTCGGAGACGGCCGTGGCAACGTCATCTTCGTTGCTGGGCTTTCCGGGCTCATCATGGAACATGCGGATGTTGGCACCTCGCTGGTTGACATCGGGACCGACGGTGAAGACGACGGGAAGGAGAAATTGCAGCTTTTCTTTGGTCATGGCCTGGAGGCTCATGGCGTAGTCGTGGGGTTGCACGCTGAAGCGCATGCAGCGCTGGAAGGGCCAAACCCATGCCGCCTTTGTGATTTTGACTAGTGGTACGTGTTAGACGTTGACGTCGACGGCATTGTAGGTAGGAGAGGTCAAGACGAAACTCACGGGTCTTGACACCCATGCCAGTGATGGCAAGGTATTCATCGGGAGCGGCAATCTTGTAGGAGGCCATCTTGTCTGATTGGGCAGATATGCTCGATACTTTGGCTGGGTACGGGTTATCTAGGTGTAGAAAGGGTGATGTAGTACAGAGACGAGGAGGAGTTTCTATCTTTTTATACACCTATATGTATGCGGAAGGGCATCGACCACATGCAGTTCGTTGCTGCTACAGGTCTGATGCAAGTGCTCCCCGCCTCAGGTGGCTCAATGATGGCCATGCGGTGCCTCTACTTGTTCGGTAGCTGATCGGGTATAGGCCGGTGACCGACCGCCAGACTGATTTGTCTACAGGGTTTCCCCATTCCGTTCACAAAGGCGAACAAAAGTTGTTGGTGTTTGCGGTATTGCACTGCCCTTTTCGCGTGGTAGGGTAGCAGAGTTCCGTTCGGACAAAGCGCCGGAAAATGGTCTGCTCAGAAAGCATGCCTACAAGGGCTGGGTTGTAATTGGTAGAGGCTCAGCCCTTGGCACTCGGCATGACTGGAACTGCAACATGGAACATTTGTCTCTTGCAGGTTTCCGCGCTTACCCTCCCAAGCGTCTGCACCTATTTGGGACTTTCGGTACCCGGCTCAGTGGATGTCATCAAAATATAACTCGAAATCCGACGGTTTCCCGCAATGGTTTCCCGAACAGAACAACGTCCTACATACATTTCAGCTCTTCACCGAGACCACCGATTCGAACATTGAGTTGCATTCAATGACCATTCCTTCTACTAACCATCTCGTCGGTAACAATTGCGGACACCAACGCGATCTGAATCATGTTCTGGCGGATGTGCTGAGGAAATTACCGCTAGAGGTGACTGAAGCACACCAGCCACTACGATTTTCCGCCCAACATCAGACTGCCTGCCCTGGGCACTTTCCAAGGCACCGATATCCACCTCTATGAACCAACGCCGACTTTGAAGCCGTCTTTTATCTCCTTTACGCCTGTTTATCTTGGCGTAAGGGTTCTGATCCCGGCCCAGTGACTACTTCAAGGGCGGGCGCAGCCGCTGGCGACCCAGGGGGGGAAAACACTAAAAAGAACCTTACTGGGGTTAGCGTCTGCCCAGATTGTGGCTGTGTCTCGCTTATAAGTTGTAACGTCGCAGGTACGACAATTCACTACTACATACTTCAACACTAAAACCACAAACAGCTCCAGGGGTAAGATCACAAGTTGATTCCCCATCAACAAGAAGTTTTCTAGGCTGAACTTGGAAAGTCGGGCATCAGACCATACGATACTACTAATCACGAGCGAGGAGCAACGTCCGTGACATCGCCATCGCCCCTCCCTGTGTTCTCCTTCTCCGGTTCCCAACCACCAACATCCAGCTGATCCGGGTTGCCGGCACTGAACCGGTTGGAGTTCGAATGACTATTAGTGTGTCAGTCTAGGTAACCTTCAGTAGGTATTGTCCATTGCATCGGTCTAAAACGCTCTTCGACTCTGCCTCTTCATCAGCCAGAAACGAGATACACATTGATCCCATCAACATGTCCAAGTCACCGCATGTTTCCCCCGACGTTAGGTCGTCCCTACCAGACCTCCTCCCTCCACCCTCCTACACCGAAGCCATCACGTCCCCCTCCGGCCCCTCTGGCCCCTCCCGATACGACACATCCTCCGTTCCGACTCCCACCCGAACAGGCGAATCCCCCCTAACCACTCACCTTCGCACCCTTCCTTCGCGCCTCCGCTCCGCTCAACACTCGCACTCGACGGCCCAGTCCTCTCGCGACGCTTTTCTCGTAGCACAATGCGTACCGTATATCGAGTGGTTTATCGAAGACGTTGTAAACATGCCCAAGACGCCCAAGGTGGCCGAATTGGTGCTGGTGCCGACGGAGGGGTTACCCGGGGTGGAGTCTTCAGAAGAAGCGACCTCTACGGGGAGAGAGCTGGCTAGGAAGAGGGCGGAGAGGGATGATAAGGGGTGGGAGTTGGTCGGGGCGAAGGAGCGAAGGGAGGAGGGGGAGGTGGTGAAGGTTGTTTGTGTGTCTGCGGCTCCTGACCAGGGAGGGCAAGTGACGGACGAAAAGGGGAGGACGGTGGACCGGAAGCGCGCGGGGGAGGATTCAGGCTCAGGTTCGGCACCGGCCCGGCCGGGTGATTACACCTTCGGAGAGTGGGGCAGATTCGAGACCGAGGCATCATCCTCCTCTTCTCGCTCTCAGTTCGGACCCGAGGAAGCATGGAACTGGTTTGCTACCCCCACTCTCGCCCGCCGAATCGCCTCGCTGCTACGTCCCGAACCGACTCTTGCCCGCAAAACCATCCAAGCAGCCGTCGAGTCACCCAAATCTCCAACCTCCCCTTCCTCCAAGAAGTCTGGTTTCGGTAGTTTCTTCCGCAGAACCTCCAAGTCTGAGCCGCAGACACCGACACCGACGGAGCGGCTCATAACACCTGTTAGGGACGGTGCAATGCTAGAGCAAGATAGGATTACTATGACGGTTAGGGCGGAGGAAGTCACGTTTAGGAGGGAGAACGAGTTTGGGTTATGGGAGAGTGTAGGGGGCTGGGGTGTTGTTGTTTCCATCAAAGTGGGAAGGCTGTAAATTGGGCCCTGTCAACCTCCAAGTTCATGGCCAATCTAGATGGCTGCCTGGTAATGTGGATGGAACAGGGCTATTTTGCGAACATAAATTGGGAATGATGAGTAGTTGCAACAGATGTGTACACAAGGACATCAGTTACAATGTGTAAAAGTTAAAGAGGTAGTAACATTTTGTCGGTACGGAGACCTTGCAAGATTCGTAGAGGTAGCCACACTTAGCTGCAATACAAAGTACCATACCTGTGTGAACTCATCATCAATGTTCTACTGCCGTGGATGTTAATCTCAGGCTTGGCCTACCTCTGTGATAATTCCTCCGACTTAGTTCGTCGTCGTGAGCGCCGTGAATCCGTAACTCATCTCTCATGACCATGTGCATTACTCATCAACATCAGACCTTCCCGTCCCGGCCGACAAACCAAGCCCTTCCCTTCAAATCCTCAACGACGCTGTCCCTGATCCACCAATTATCCCCTGACGCTACTGCGGATCCATGGCGGGATCCTTCACGCAGCTCATCCCAGTTTGGCACACAATGCTCCTTCTCCTCCTCGACAGATACCTTCTTTCCCTTGCCCTTCATACTCCTGGTCGTAGGCCCCTGCCCTGCGTGTCCTGCGCGGGCTTTACTCTTCCCTTTTGCAGTTGTCCTGCCCGCTGTCGTAACGTCGGCCGCCGCCGGTGTTTCGGGCAATGTACCCAATGCAGATAAAGCAGCCGAAACAGGCGACTGAACAGCCAAGGATTGCCGCCTTTCCATCCATTCGAACAACAATCGGAGACCTAGGAGTTTCTCTCGGCTCGGCATGCCACCTCCGGTCAGATCATTTTCAAGCACAAGACGTGCATCCACGAAAGTCGTGGCGCCTTCACCTTCGCCTACGCCTCCGCCAGAGCCAAGCCGGTCCATCACGACCGCTCTTTCAGCATGGGTCAGCTTTGCCAACTCTCCAAGCTCGTTGCCCATGCTGTGGCTAATAGCATTGGCAGCATCGCCACTCGTGCCAAGTAAGTCACTACCCTCAGCACCAGCACTAAGTTCAAAAACCCACTCAAACGGATCCTTCAGCTGCCCATCTTCTGCAACCGGACCCATCCCTCGCCCCAAAGCACGCAAGGTAGCAGGAAATGGTGCTTCGAGCGCTGGTCTCCTCCGCAAAGACAAAGTTTGGTTCTCCTTCAACTGCTCCACCAGGCTTGGGTCCGTTTCAAAGTCGATGGTCAGGTTCCAGTAGCCCTGCTGCCCAGCATCCGTCGTGACGCGTAGGACATCGTCCAGGGGTGGCAGCAAGCAAGGAGTTTGGCGGCGGATGACAACACCGTCCGATGAGGATTCAAAGGGTGAGTCAATGGCAGAGTTGGCCGCGGCGGCGCGGGCTGATGGACTGTTGCGTCTCAGAAAGATGAGAACGGGCACGTTCAGACTCTGCCCAGTGGCCCCATCCTTGGCGACAAGGCAGCGCGGGTCCGTGGCCAGCACCCAAAAATGTCGGAAGGCTTGCAAATGAGCTCTGTTATCCTGAACAGTTGCGGGGAAGATGGGATAGAAAGCTACAATCAGCGACGCGACGGCAAGGTCACTGTTGCTAAAGGTAGCGGTGCCGTAACCGAGGAACAAGGCTCCGATAGCCATATGACAAGCCATATGACTTCCGTACGTCGTTTCCTTGTCATCTCTCCCATGTAGCGCTCGAAGTCGGCGGAGAATCACCAGATCGCCGGTGCCCGCCATCACCGTTGCGCAGGAAAGGGCTACAATGTCCATGCACATGCGCGCATTTGAGCGAGCAAGCTCCGCGTCAAAATTGCTCCTGGGCATGGAGACGAGGCGCATAAATTCATCCAGGTAATGCACAAGCAGGTCGCGGACTTGGATATTCCCGGACCCGGCGAAACGCAGGCCCAAAGCAAAACAGAGACCGGCAAGGATGGAAAAGAAGGGGAGATCCTTGCTTTGTAGACAGATAGTAGACGTCAGGCGGTAGCGGGGTTGGTACTCCCTTGGTAACCCTTCTTTGATCCAGGCGAAGGATGGTGTGATGCCCTTCCAAAGGATTATATGCTTGGCCATTGTGCGGAGAAGTAGGATGTCAGGGCGGACATAGTCAAACTGCACCACGGTGTCAGGGACGTCGATCTTGCGTGCCACGATATGATCCTCCGATTTCATGAAAATCAAGGCAGCAGCAACGACGGCGGCGGCAGCGGAGCGGTCGAGGACATGCACAAGTTCGACGCGCTTGGTGGCCGTGGCGATGGTGAGCAGCTTCTCCGTGAGACGCATGTCGCGCAGGCCTTTGAGATCATTGCCTTTGCCGAGGTTGATGAACCCCAAAGCGAAACCGGCGGCGAGGCGGTAAGATTCGTCACGCAGAGGGTCTTCCTCCTCGCCGTCTTCTACATGCTCGATTTCCGACATCATGATTTCGCTCATGCGCCGGTGTTGGCTCTTGCAGTAAAGCAGACCGATGCCCATAATGCCGGTCGTCTGGGTGTGCTTGGAGAGGTTTAGTTCCGCAGCACCGCGGGGAAGCATGCGAGTGACGTGGACAGACAGCAGTCTGGTGATGAGAGAGTCCATGGTCCCGATGTACGAGGCGGCGAGACCGAGGAGAAGGCCGATCGAAGTCATGGTGTGCTTGGGGGTAAGGTACTTAAACGCCACCCACTTGGCCACTGACTTGAGATGACCATTCAGACCGAGGGCGAGCAGGAAGCCTGCATGTCGGTTGCTGAGGTCCTGGCCGGGCTTGTTGTAAAGGATCCAAGAGGTGTCGATGCCTTTGGCTTGTGGCGATATCGCAAGCCCACCGGCAACGCCTTGATGGAAGAAAGCCCAGTTAATCTTTTCTTCAGTGAACTGACTCTTGTCAACACTGACGGTGTTGTTGGTAGGCCGGATGATGCATGCAAGATTGAAACCACTGATGTGATATTTTTGCGTGAGGAGCGGGTACCGCAAAGAATAGTACAGCAAACCACGTCCAGGTGGGATGGCAAGCGTGCTGGTGGCAACAGTGGTAACCAGCTCCTTTTGCTTCTCCAGGTACTCTGACTCAGACCACTCTGGCTTAGGATCAAGCCGCAGAACGCGTGACTTGCCCGAGGATAAGAGATTTTGGGCCTCATTGAGTCTCCGGTCCTCCCTGAACAGGGTACGAACAACCAGTTGCCTTTCCGAGGCATCAGTGTCCTCACCATGTTCTTGCAAGTCATCCAAATGCTGACACAGCATACGAAAATCCCATTTCGCCGTGTGTGAAGGTGGTTGAAGTTCTGACCCAATCGTCTTTGACACCTTGATTTGCTTGAGAATGGTGCTGACATCGGTGCGGTTGACCAGCTTGAGCAGCTCAGTGGGCCAAGACAAAGGTGGGTTTGGCTGACAGATGAAAATGAAGTCTTGTAAGGGAGTCAAAATGGCTTCTGGTAACGTCTCGAGGACTTGGGGAGTGAAACCGGCGGCATGCATGGCTGCCACTGCTTCGAAACGATCCTTGGCTGACTTGAGGAGCTCAAAGAGCTTCCGGAACATAAAGGTGCGTGGGGTCAGGTCACGCCAGGCCCTCTCCCTCGGACTGCGTCCACGAACGTCCGACGTGGCAGTAGCATAGACTTGGGGAAGCGTGAGGAAGTCGGGACCACCATCGGTTGTGAAATGCTGCCGAATCCAGGTCATGACACAAGGATTGAAAACGGGTGGAGGTATGGCCAATCGGGCAAGAGGAGCTGCGAAACCGGTCAGTCAAATGAACCTGGTGCCGTGAACCCATGAACATACCTGAATCATCGGTGTCGAGATCTGCCTGAAGACCGAGGCTGTAGAGCTCCTCGTACTGCAGCCATCCAAGCCATCTCGCAAGCTGCCAGAGCAGCGCCCTGAGATCACTGTGGCCTGGCGAGACTTCTTCAGGAGACAAGACACTCAATGTCTGCTCTTCCATGAGGAGGTGAAGCGCAAGCATCATACTCCAGGCTGCCTTATTGCGACTATCGCGATCTCTCTCGACGGCTGTTGGAAGGTAGCCATTAACACCAAACGCTGCCATGCCTTCGGCAGATGCGATGTAACCTTTTGCAAGCTCGATATGACGCGCCATGAAGCTTGGTGGCTGCGTACCTTGGCTGGATGGGATAGTGTCGAGAAGGCTGTCCTCCAACAACCACTGCCAGCCCCTGTTTTGCATCCACGGGGCATTGGCAGATGCCACCGGGGTCGCGTACAGCTCCATGGCCTCCCAGTTACTCTTCGGTTCAAGAACGCGGACACCACAACCCAATCTGGCCAACGATGTTTCGTCCGTGTGCCCGAGGGCCATGAAGCTCGCCAGTAATAATACAACCAGAGAAGACCATTCTCGGTCGTTGGTGGTACTATTCGCTTCCTGTTGGTTCAGAACTCTAAGCCACTGTGTGGTATGCCACCAACCGGCCAGCAGTCGATCTGCATGTGAAGGAGGAAGAACACTTCGGCAAGCGTCCAAGGCCTTGCGAACCTGGGATGAGGATGGGTGAAGCTTGAGACGAATGCGATGAAATGCGCCGTTCTTGTCCATTAAATCGACGACTCCACGGGGAGAGCTGTGGCACAATGCATCGATGCGGATCTGGGAGAGGCGAACTCCCTCTGATTTGTTTACCACCGACGGCGTATTTGTTCTATGAGTCCCCGAGTAGCTCAGGTTGTTGACATCGTCAAGAAGAAGGAGAGTCGCGTCAACAGTGGTGAGCTGGCTCCATGGGGATTGCAGACTTAGCTCCCTGCCACCAGCCTTGTCTTCGGAGAGAATGAGTATGGTCTGCTCGTTTCCATCCGAGATCTTGCACGAGTCGATGACGTTTTGCGCCCGTCGAAGTTCACTAAAAACCATGGGAGCTTTGGAGGAGAGTCCTGACGTGGCTGGCTCGACAGTGGACCCTGGGACGGGATGCGGAACATGCAGAGTCAGGAGCTGCAACCTCTTGTCGACGACGTCCTGGATTCCAAGAAGAATCTGGACACGACCCTGCTCGTCAGTGGCAGTAGGGGGGCCGACGAGAATGAACACTTTGGACTGCGTCTTAGCCGGTTTGTCGGCAAGAGAGTAGCGGACGTTGGCGTTGTCCATGGGAAAGCTGTGAATTTTTCTGAAGAGCATTTCGTGGGTTAGCCCTTCGAACTCATGATCATCCAAGCCCATATTGTGGAAGCCCTCAAAGTCACCACCAGCACGGAGCTCCTCAAGCAAAGAGTCGACAGGCGCCTCGGCTAGGCTGTTGAGACCATGGTTGAAGGAAGTGCCCAGATGTAAACCGCCGTAGGCACCGCTCATGCGTGTCCGTTGACTGCCTAGTGAATCTCCCCTTCTACCTCCATGCACCGCATGTAGTGTTTGCTCGGAGAAACTCGCCCTCTCCTGGGATGCGGACAAGTCAGCTCTGGCCAACAGAGAGCTTACGCGACGAGACTGTCTGCGGGCATCGTCATCAGTTCTCTGGGGGTCTAGAGAATTCAAAACACCCTCGAGCGCCCGACCCTTGTCCTTTTCTTTTTCCCGCTCATCGATCCTGACACTTTTGCGAGGCTTCTTGCCGGGCAGAGGAGCACCGAAGCTATCTCTAATGGAGGGATGGACCGGGGTGCTGGCACCGCTGGGCATGCCGGGAGCCATGGAGCTGCGCCTGCGAGTCGACTTGGCGGGTTTCTTCTTCCTTTTGCCAATGAAGGGATCTTCGTTTTCCAGAAAGGTCAAGCGCCAGACGCTGTACATGCTGTTTTCTCTGTTAACGGTAACAGCAATGCAAGTCTCACTTTGCGAGGCAGAGGCATAGCCAGGTATTTCGATTGCTTCGACATGGACAATCTCTTCGGCTGGACTGAGAAAGTTGGAGGCGAGAGAGACTCCTTGACGTCTCTTGTTTGTCTTTTTGTTTTCCGGGTGGGTGACTATCAAACCGATCTCGAGCAAGGGGTCCGTCAAACACACAAGCCGAGGCCAAGGACTGTCGGGGGTCTCCATGGGTGGTTGCCACATGTTTTCCAAAGTGTTGCTCAGCTTCAAAGGGAGCGCCTTGGGTCGTCCCAGGCCTTCGATGGAGAATTCGGCGCCGGTTTGGCTGAAGATGGACGAGGGCTGTGACGAGACGAAGGAGTTCGGCGGAACCTTGGGCAGTCGCAAGGTAACGGGCAGGGTATTGTTTGCTCGCTGTTTCCGTTGGATGATGACGCCAACGGGAGCGGCGCAGGCCGACTCGACCTCGAAGGGCATGTGGACGACATGGCTGGTTCCGGAGAGGAAGTAGATGTGGGCTTGGGTCTTGAGGAAGACGACGAGGGCTCGGGCGAGAGGTGGTTTCGCGTCATGCTTTTCGGTCGTGGGTTTCTCGGGCTGCGAAGGGGCAGCGCTGACAATGGGGTGGGAGTCTGTCGAGGTAGGGAAATATGTGAGGAGAGCCTGGGTGACTTTCTCGTTCTCGATGTCGAACCTGAAGCTCTTTCGAAAGATGCCGCCGCGAGACCAGATGACGCAGGTATCGGTGGTCAACAGCTCGTCTTCACACTCGGCGTGAGCCTGTCGGTCGACGAATATCTCCCAAGAGTAGGACGAGGAGGGAGGGTTCGGAGGGAGGAAGCCTTCATCGATGGCATATCGCAGTCCGATGGGCTGGTGAACTCCCAAAGAAGTGGCCGCCGCCATGATGTCGTCAAATCACTTGGTCGTTTGCTGGGGAGTAAAAAGAGTCAAGCCATTTTCCAGATTGGCGCATAGTGTGTCCAGCCTGAAGCTGAGTGGTCGGGTCTTGGTCGAAGCTGGCGCATTCGGTCTTTCTGTCTTTTTTGTTTTGTTTGGGAAGGAAAAGTCAACACAAGGTGGGATGGATGGATGGATGGGAAGCTCTTGTCAACCTATCGCATTGCATTGCATTGCGCTCAGCACAGCAGCGTCAACATGGACTAGTACACTACAGTACTGTACCGGAAATCGCGTCTGATAGCGCTGTGAGACGCGACGGATTCAGTTGCCCTCTCCACTTGTGTCCCGCACTGGACGTAGCTGGGGCAGCTCAGATCCCTCTCCACAGAAGTGCCCTGGCTCTGGATACATGGTCTGTGCTCCCTGTACACTCTCATTGTCGGGTACCTACCTAGAGGTAAGGTAAATTGCTACTATGCTGAAGGTACCCAATGTGGATTTTCCAAGTGACGGCCACGCTAAACGCATGTGCCAGATGTTGAGCCTTTGGTCACGAGGCTGATCTTATCCCGCTGCCTAGGTAGGTAGGTAGACACATGGGAAGGGATGCGTATTGTTTTTTCTCTGATTGAAAAGCATGAATACTACGGATTTCTTCATGATGTACTCGCAACTTCAAACGAGTTTCCGGTTTACCATATCTGACCTGCTTGTCGCCATTTCGCGTTAGGCCTTTCTCTCCTTGAGCGAGCCTCTAACATAAGCGTTTACCACTTTCGCCCTGTGGACCTGTCCTTACTGACGTAGCGGTCCTCCACTCCCCCTCCATCCGTTCCCGGCTCTGGAACCGACCGACAGCGACAACAAACACTAGGTTGGTTGCAGCACAGGACTGGGGACATTGAAGCTAGCCTAGGCCTAGGAACCCAACGAATAGCGCCTTACCATAGGCGCAAACGAACTCCATTTCTCTTTCCAACACCTTTGCGATCAATCAGATCCGTCACCAGCTACGCCATGATACTACAGGCGATCCGGCTCCAATCAACATGACGCAGGTCCCGCCGGAGACAGGCGACTCTGCCGACACCACGCCCGCTCCCACCATCGTGACGTCTCCCAGGGCGCGGCCCAAGCGATCCATTGGCAGCAGCACCATTGGCACCACAACCACCTCGACGGCGACGGCGACAGGAACGGGCACAGATGGAGAATCCGGCATCTCGGTAGAGGAAGGGTTGGAGGTCGATGGGGGCCGTGCAGATGGGGAGGAGGAAGAAACCGAGGATGACGATGAGGACGATGACGACGACGAGGACGACGATGAGGAAGAAGAAGACGAGGAAGACGAGGAACCAAAACTCAAATACGCCCGGCTCACTGAACACCTCGGGCCTCTGTATCGCAATGGCGACGCCACAAGCGCCTTCTTGACGGCTGGCGACAAGATGGTCAGATAGACTCCATGGCGATTCTCGAGGTACACATTGCGACAGCTGCTGACTTGTGATGGCTACCCCAGATCGTTGGAACGCATAACGGCAACATCCACGTCCTCCAACTGCCCGCCTTCCAGTCCCTGCGCGTCTACCATGCCCACAGCGCCTCCGTCACCAGCCTCTCCATCTCGCCCTACCCACCCCCTCTCCCAACCTTCGACCCAAAACCTCTCACCCGTGTCTTTTCCCAAACAAACAGCCCCCTGCGGCCTGCTAGCGCATCCACCGAAAGCCACCACCAGACCAATTCAGCCTCCGCCGCACGCAAACGAGACGCCCAGGCCCATGGAGTCCCCAATACCCCCTCCAACAACATCCACATCGCGACCTCCTCTATGGATGGTAACGTCTGCGTCCAGTCTCTGATCGACGTCAAGGATGTTACTCTCCGCAACTTTGCCCGACCTGTACAAGCTGTTGCTCTCTCTCCCGATTACAAGAACGACAGGACCTATCTGTCTGGCGGTCTGGCTGGTCAGCTCATCCTGACCGTCGGCGCCCCACAGGGCAAGAGCACGGCCACTACGACAGGAGCCGCTGCTCAGGCGGCAGGATGGCTCGGGAACATGGTGGGCGCAGGGTCCGGCAAGGATACCGTTCTACACTCGGGTGAGGGCACCATCAACACCATCAAGTGGTCCGGATCCGGGAAATATGTCGTCTGGCTGAATGAGCATGGTATCAAGATCATGAGGACGAAGCTCCATCTCGAAAGCGCCGATCAAGAAGATGCATGGAAACGAATTGGTCATATTGATCGCCCGCAGACAGAGGAGTGGGATACCATGGCCAGCGTCTGGAAAGGTCGTGCCGAGTGGATTGACGAGCAGTCCATCGAGCCTGATGAGCCGGGCAAGGGTCAGAAGGAGGTGCCGGCTTCTCCTGCGGCTGCGATCCTGAAGCAGCAACACCAGAAGACCGAGAAGAAGGTGGAGAGATTGCTGGTGGGATGGGGAGGCACCATATGGTTCATTCACGTCCACCCTGGCGGCATGGGCGTCGGCAAACACGCGGGAGAAAGGTCCGCTGGACGGGCAGAGATTGTAAAGCTGTAAGTGTACTCTTTCTGCCGTGTTGCCGGCGACGCTGACTCAAACTCCTCCAGACTTCGCATGGACTGCATCATTTCCGGCATCTCTCTATATACCCAAAACTTGTTATTAGTGCTCGCATACTGCTTACCAGACGAAAACGAGGATGAAGAAGATGACAATGTCGCTCCGAGTCATAAACACGCCGCATCAATAGCATATGGAGCAAGCCACCCATCCGGCGGGATCAAGCGCAGACAAAACAACCCGCCACCAGAACTGCGCCTGATCGATCTCACCTCCCAAGCCGAGATTGACAAGGACGGGTTGAGCGTCAGCCGATTCGAACGCTTGACTGCCAGCGATTACCACCTCGGAGTTCTGCCGGCTCGCAATGTAGCCGCCTCTGCAGCCAGCAAAGGCACCTTGGAGACTTTGGCTGGCTTCGGTACCGACATGCTCAACGTCGGCCTGACCGGCCTCAACGTGGCGCTGAATCCCAAGTCTCTCTTCAGCTCAGGCGCCAGCATCAAGAGCAGAGAGAGCGACGAGGCGCCTTCGAACTACATGGGAGGGATTAACTCGGCATTGAAGGGCGGACATCGCACAGCTATCCATCAAAACCTCAATAAACCCGGCATCAAGATCTTCATCCACAGCCCGTACGACTGTATCCTGGCAACAAAGAGAGACTTGGCCGACCACCTTGGATGGTTGCTAGAACGCCAGCAGTACAGACAAGCATGGGAGCTGGTTGACGAGCATCCGGAGATTGTGTCTGCGACCGACCGGGCGTCCGAGCTGGGCGGCTCCGAAACTCCCGACCGAGCCCAAAACGATGACTTTGACGATGAGACCTCCTCTGTCATCGACGGCCTGCGCAGCCACTACTCTCTTGCTGAAAAGGAAAAACGACGCATAGGCGAACTCTGGATCCACGAACTAGTCGAAGCCAATGACTGGGCCCAGGCCGGCCAGATCTGCGGCAAAGTCCTCGGCACCCCTGACCGCTGGGAGAAATGGGTCTGGACCTTTGCCGGCGCCAATAAGTTTGATGACATTGTCAACTACATCCCCACCGAGCGAACACGACCGCCCATCCCCGGAACCATCTACGAAGTCGTGCTGGGCCATTACCTCCAGGTCAGCAAGCCCCGGTTCAGAGAGCTGCTGGAACGATGGTCGTCGGATTTGTTTGACGTTGCCACCATAACCACGGCTCTGGAGAACCAGCTCAAGTACCGTGATGTCCGAGAGGACAGCGTCGAGGATGGCGAGGTAGGAAGAGATTGGCGCATCGTCATGGAGAGTCTGGCCAAGTTACACGAGGCTAGCGGGCGGACCAAGGAGGCGCTCCGATGTTACATCAGGTTACAGGATGCGGACTCGGCGATGCGACTGATTAAAGATGCGCATCTGGCCGAGGCGGTGGCGGACGATATTCCCAGCTTCATCGGCCTTCGCGTGCCGCAGGACAAGCTCCTCAAGATGTCCAAGGAAGATCTTGAGCAGGCTACTAGTGAGGCCATCTCGCTGTTGGTCGACGAGGCGCAGCATGGCTTGGTGAAGCCGGACCTTGTGGTGTCGCAGTTACAGGAGAAGGACTTGAAGCTCTACACATTCTTCTACTTGCGAGGTCTCTGGCGTGGTGAAGGCATCCACGAACACACGCACGAGTCTCTAGCCCGTCTGGTCCTCGACAGCCGCACCATGGTAGACCAATTTGCTGATCTGGCTGTCCACCTCTTTGCCATTTACGACCAGCCACTGCTCAACCAGTTCTTGAGGACATCGACAGCATATGCCTTTGAGAAGGTTAGTTCTCCCTGTCTCCCATGTTCCTTGCCCCTCATTTACTGACTGTTTTGTGCCCCAGGCCGCCCAAGAATGCGAAAGCCGCAACTACATCCCCGAGCTCGTCTACCTCTACTCCAAGACCGGCCAGGTGAAACGAGCGCTCTATCTCATCATCGAGCGCCTCGGCGACGTCTCCCGTGCTATTGCCTTTGCCAAGGAACAAGACGACCCCGATCTCTGGGAAGATCTGCTCGAGTACTCCATGGACAAACCCAAGTTCATTCGTGCCCTGCTTGAGGAAGTCGGGACGGCTATCAACCCCATCACACTTGTGAGGAGAATACCTGAGGGGCTACAGATCCCTGGCTTGAGAGAAGGTATAAGGCATATCATGAAGGAGCATGAGATCCAATACTCTATCTCGGAAGGCGTCAGCCGCGTGTTGAGAAGCGAAGTTGCAGCGGCTATGAACACACTGCGAAACGGCCAGCGCAAGGGCGTCAAATTCCAAGTTGGCGTCAGGGAAGGAGGCGAACACGTGGACGTCCAGCCTACGGATATCCCGACGCAACCCTTGACCGAAAAACCTTCCTCCTCCGGCCTCGCCTCCCCAGCCGCTCCATCGCAGCAGCCACCACCAACCCCGTCAACACCAACCCACCGCCGCCCCAAATCTGCTGCGAAGAAGTACCAAGCCGGCCACTGCGCCCAATGCCTCTCCCCCTTTACCACGTACGAAACAGACACGCTGGTTGGCTTCGCTTGCGGACACGTGTTCCACTTGCCGCATTTACTGGAAGCGTTGAATCCGGGGAAGACGGTCGATGCCGATGTGTTGCTGGGAGGTATGGGAGCAGAGGAAAGGAGCGCTCATTTGGTTGGGGCGAAGGTGACGCATGCGAGATTGTTGAGGGATCGGATCGTTGGCGGTTGTGTTGTTTGCAAGGCTGCTAAGGAGGAGGAAGGGGAGGGAAGGTAAGGTACCCGTACAAGAGCACCCGGGAAAGAAAGGGACGGGGGACAAGATTTTGCAGTGTGTATTCAATGTTATGAGCGATGATTGCCTTTTGAGAGAAGGTTTTGGTTAAAGGATGAGTATCGGGCCGATGTTGGAGCTTCGTGGGAGAATGGATGAGAGGAAACGAGACCGGTATACTTTGTACGCATAGACGGCTAAATATGCGCGCGGACTGGGACGTATGTTATGATTATGAATATAGATATGTTGATGACTTGATAGGAGCTAGCAAGCTTGTACTCTACGTGCATGTTGTCTAATTGATGTGTGGTGGCGTTTGTTGACATTGATGTAGCGAAGGTTACCTAGAAGTAAGCTTCCACCAGCCTTGTCAGGGTTGAATTTGGTTGAACAGACGTTTGCTAGATATTTCCAATCTTCCCTTGTAACTCTAACCTAAGGTCAAGAACAGAGGGTAAAGGGAGGTAAGATGGAGTAGTCCCAAGGAGAAAAAATAAGTGAAAGTAGACGGAAGAGGTTGGAATCTAGGAGCGACAGAGTTCTCTTGGTTAGGGAGATCTGAGGTTGAGTTAGGGGAGGTAGATGTTGTGTAGCGAAACGGAAAAGCGGGTAATTGTTAGTATGTATAACACGCCATTGGTCAACAACCGGCCTTATCTTGATACACAAGTAGAGTGAACGTCTGCAGCCGCGATCACGATGGGGGAGTAAAGGATAGCACTTCCAAGCAAAGGCGGACTCGAGTGACTGGAGATGGTGCAATTGATTGTAAAGGAAGGGCCGATGGGGGAGCTGCACAAGAAGGTACATGCTGCAGGCATGCTTCGGGGAAGGTAGGAAGTCCCCTCGACATTTCTGTGGCCGTCGTTGTCGGGCTAGGGTCGGTTGGTGTTGGTGCACCGTGGACACTCGGGTTACCCGAAAACGAACGCTCCAAGAAGTTCGAATTGCTGTAAGAATTTGCTTCCAACAAATGGCTCAGGTTTCAAGTCATGCTTTAGATAGTCGTCACTTGCCCGATCTGCCCTTCTTCTTCTTCCGACCTCCATTTTCAACCGTACACGTGCCCCCTGTGCCAAAGCCGTATGGGTTTGCTGCGTAGTAGTTGGGTAGAGGTACCTACTACCTGTATGAATAGACGTAGCTAACGGTACCTTCCGTTGCGTTACACTTACTACTTATCTCAGCGCTCAGACCACCTTGAGCTCCCGGGCGTACACGGACCTGTAACGAATACTACATTTTTTATTAATTTATCGATAAATTGACTCTGCTTCCATTCTAGGCAATATTCTAGCCCTCCGCTCAAGGAGGTCTAAATATACAACTCGATTAGAATCGTATAAATATTAACTAACCCACTAGAATATTAACCTCAATACTATAACTTTACAACAATACGTCGTATTACGAGGTTTTCTGGCTAATTTTGATCACAAAAATTACAGCTTTCTAATAATATTAATTTTATTATTATTATTATAGAGGAAAACTCCCAACACAAGAATACACAATCCATTCGCAGTCTCCCAACCCACATACAACATTATTATAATCGTTCCCAAATACAATTACAATACTAGCGCACTTCTTCAATAGCTAGACTATTAAAAATTAAAGAATTATTTACTCTCTCTTTTATTCTATCTAATATCTAAATCCCGAATTATATATAAGTAGAGCAAAACGTCAATAATAAAATAGATTGTAACAATACGCTTATAAAGGATAATAATTATAATATTATTAAAGAGATACTCGACTTCTAAGCTTACTTCCGATTAAAGTATAGTAAATACATAATAAGAATAGTAATAAAAACTGAAATTATTAAACTAAAATTATTTAATATTAAGGTATTTATAGTAGAATAATTGAAAACTAAACGTAGAAGTATAAATTTTACTAGCTTTTTTAATAAAAATAACAATATAAAGGAAGCTTTCAACAATAGTAGCCTCATTATTTAATATACTACTAATATACCTAATAATCCAAATTACTCTACCTTTATATTATATAAAGAGATATAGGCCCTACTTACTAAGCTATCTTTTGGGCAGTTTAAGGTTAAAAATATTTATTAAAGTAATAAACTAGCTACTATTTCTCAATTGAATAGTTTATTTTAATTAGAAAATACTCTAAAAGAGACTTAGCTAACCTTTAGAGCTACTACTCCCAATATAGTTATTGTCACGGCTTGGCTGGATGGGTATTGGGAATAAGGGTACTCTGACGGACAAGCTTCTTATCTTATCTTCTTATCGATAGACGATCCGGATTGGGAAGGCGGCGACGAATGGCAGATCTGACTTATATGTCCGGATCCGAAATGCCTTCGTTCGTCTACCTTCTCTTTCCCTCCTTACACTTAATATTACTTTGATTTGTGGCTTCTAATCTTGTTGTCTTATCACTCGTAGGATCACGCTTTCACAGGGTTTACTAAATTAACCCACCTTAAGATATAAATAATAGTTATTACAATTAGAACGAGATAATTTATATAATAGCCGCTAGATTTAAAAAGTACGTACTTATAAGTTTTTAGTACGTGTTAGTAAGTAAACTCGTTTTCTAACTCTCTAGATTCCTATTAATACAACTGGCTACACCACTACAGTGCAGCACTTTTCTATATACAGGAATCAAGCAGTAATACTTACAATAGAACTACCGTTCGTTAGAGTCGACGGTTAGGGTCAATTCTCCACACATAACAATTGTTTGTTAATTTTCCGCCCTGCTTGTGGTTTACTCCACCACAATTGCAACTGTCTGTAGGCACGGACAAGTAGTGAACGCATAAGTTTTTGTTGTATACGAAGCTACACTTAGCCTTTATTTCAAGCGAGATAGTAATGGAAACAAAACCAATGCCACTGTTATACGGGAAGTCGAAGTCTTTGGACAAAAAGAACCCAGGTCCAAGGTCCGAGTGCTCGATTGAGTCGCAAAAGCTCTTGGCGGCGTTTAGCATCCGCACCCCCTCGGTGTCTTCTCCACTGTTGTAACATTGTAGAGAGTTGGTCCGCGCATCACCTTGCTCATAGGTCGAGGGCAAGGGCTCTGGCTCCTGCACGGGTTGAGTAGGGTTAGACTTGATAGTTGACGTTGTCGTAGAAGTAACGGGAGGGCAGGTCGTCTGAAGTTCCGCGCTATTCTCGTTGAAATAATCCCCACTGTCTGGAACTCCTGGTCTGGTCATGTTTCCGAACCAGGGCGGAGTGAAACAGAAGGGATCGTAGAAGTCGGTGAAGGAACACTCATCAACCAATGGGTTTTCAGGAAAGCCAAAGTATGCCCGGACAGGTTGCTTGGGCCAGCTTCCGGAGGGGGGCGTAGGGGCGTTCGGACCGATGGATGCCGGAGGCTTGGGGAAGGCACCAGTGGCAGATGTTGTTGTTGCCCTTCCGTCGTTGCCCGTGTAAACAATAGCAGGCCAGACAGGTGTCGTTGCTGGAACAGGCCATATAGTCACAACCTCTACACGTTTGTTCTTATCCGCGACAGCCTGGTTTAGGGTTACTGGCTCAAACACCCATTCGGTAACGGTCAATGGCGCCTGCGTGATGGTGCTTGTCCAGGTTCCTTGACTGACAGTGACCAATGGATAGTTGACAGTACTGGTTGCACCTCTCCACGGTGGTAGTTTCACATTGCAAGGAGGAGAGCATGTGAATTTGGGTTCATCCATCTCCCAGATCGTGGGGTCGATCCAAATGGCTTCATCAAACTTGGTGGTGCCGTTGGTACCGACATCGAGAATGCTGATTTGGGACCAATTGGGGTGCGTGTCGACGTTGAGGTTGTCCATGGCCGGAATGCCTTTGCCGTCCATGACAGCCATGTATTTGGCACCGATGGTGACAAGATTCTGGAAACGAACGTTGGCGAAATTGTTTCGGAGAAGCATAAGTGCCTTTTGACATAACTGCGTATCGATGCACGTCTGCGCATATGTAGAGAACCACTAGATGATTGGATGATTATTAGCACTAGACTAGATGCAAGGAGCAGTCCCGCGGGACGAAAGTGGCGGTAGCTGCAATGGGTTATCACTTACAGTGTAGATGCCTGCACCAGCGACAAATATGTTCGCCGAGCCTGTCATGACCACAGACCAGGATTGATCACAGCCACTAAATTCATCTCCAGCAGCACATGTATACTCGGGGTCCCCGGGCAAAAGACCAACAACGGCAGCAAAAGGAGCTGGTGGTGGCGGAGTCGGTTGGAAGTAAGGCGATTCGGTTTGCAACATGCCAGCGTATATGTTTGCTGCCTTGTGAAAATTGTACTGGTAGAACACAGCGTGCTCGGACGCGGTCCCGTAAAGCCTTTACGGGTAGTGAGGTTAGAGGTAGTCTCTTTGATACCAGAGCTCTGTAATGGGACTGGAAGAGAAGATGCCTGGCGTAAACCTACCAAGTGGGTTTTGTGCTTTCAATCAAAAAGCCACGAGCAACATAAACAGAGGTCTGCACCATGCTATTGTTTCCGCTGACCAGATCAGGGTCACTAGAGGCAGGTAGGGAGATGTTAATACAGCAGTCACAAGAGGTGGGCTTTCACCCTTCCTCATGTCGGGCTGGGCACGGGGAAGAGTAGAGCACAACTTACTCGAGCATGTGGTCGGCTCCCCAAAGCCACATATTTTCGAAGTAACCCGACGCTGATGGGGTAAGATGCATCATAAGACTAGCCGCAGAGCAGTCTGAGTTGATACCGCTAGTGACGGGAGGACACTCTGCAGGTGTCAATTCTGTTCCCGTCGCACCTCCTATGCGTACGTGGCAATCCCAAAGCCCGGCGGAGCCTTGTGCATCAGCTTGGATATTCCATTCGATGACGATCAGACCGGCTGTCGCGCCGCGGGTGGTGAAAAGGAGGTCCTGCATCTCCACATTGCCAACGTCTCCGGCATTTCCAACTTTGATCATGACCTTGGGATTGCTACAGTAGAGGTGGATATAAATCAGCGTTTGGGAAACATATGAAGAGACAAAAAGCTGTAACAAACCTGGCATCCGAGAAATACGAGCCTGACGCAACCAATTGAGACCATGCTTCGCCCACAATCTTGGTGCCGGAGGGGATAATGATAGTCGAGGTGAGAATATATGATCCGGCGTCGACGAAGAGAATCTTGCCCAAACTTGCGTATAGCGCCGCCTGGAACGCTTTTGTATCGTCGGTGGAGCCATCACCTTTACACCCGAGGTCCTTCGTATGCAGAAACATGGAAGTAGATTGATCTTCGTACTGAGGCTTGGGGCGTTCAAAGTAGTTGCCTTGAGGATCCAGAAGCGTCGAATGCCTTCGGTAGTTCCCGACTTTCCCACCCATGGAGAAAGTACGAGCCGTCGTCGATCCTTCATAGACAGGTCCAACGACCCACTGGTCAATGACAGGCGATGAGGCCAGAAGCGTGGCGCCAGTGGTATCAGCTACAGCAACCGAGACACCTGAAAGGACAATGTTATCAAGGGCAATCCCTGTGCTGCCCTTTCCAGGAGTTGCTGTTATGGGATTGACAATGACGACAGTACCGACGTTTGTAAAGGAAGAGTCCATGATTGAGACTGAGCCGACTATAGGAAATGAGGTGTTAGCATGATATCTTGGAGCTGTACCTGAAGGTAAGTACTTGAAGATAGGTATAAAAAGCGCCTCGCAGAGCCTTTAATACTGTATGGTCAAGAAAGAGGAGACACCAGATCCGGGGGGGCGGGAGAAGCAGAAGACACTCACTGTTGCCAACGCCACCATCACCGACGAGCTGAAATCCCGTCTTCACATTGTTCATGGCGATGGACTTCCATACCCATCCCCAGTCCCAGATAACTTGGATTCCAACTGTGCATCCATTGAACTTGAGGCGTTGCGCAGTGAACTGTTGCTCGCCACCTTTCAGCCCGATTCCACCCCCGGTAAACGTGACATCGGAAATGCCTCCACCGGAGCCATTCTCTGCGAACAAACCTATTTGGGACGAGCCAGCTGCTGCTATTAGCTCGACGTTCTGAAGGCTTGTGGCTTGAGCGACTTGGTAGTGGAGACAGGTGACCGTGGTTCCTGAAGTGACCTTTCGGATGTCTATGACAATATTTCGAATTTGACGGTAGAAATTGGCGGTGTTGACGTAATATCTAAGAGGCAACGAGTCAGTCTCGCATGTCCTGGAGTATCTCCACTGAGACAACGTGGGATTCAGGTAGGGAGTGGTTATGGGGTCTGGGACGGATGTATAGGTGTAGGTACGGTATGTAGGTACTAGGTAGGTACATGTATCCTGCAAGTCAAGTTTTGGGGTCCGAGATTTTACGTACTCAGGGTCTCCGCCATCAACACCCTGGCCTCCGTCTCCGGTATACTCATCCGTGGACAAGACACCTAGACCGACAAAGCTTGGAGCAGCGACGATGGTCGGCCGGTTGTTAGCATCACCAATGACCTGTGTTCCGAAAGGCAGGGCTATGGTAGAGGATACTAGGTAAGTCCCGGGGGGGAAATACACGATGGCGTTCTTAGTCGTAGACCCATTGCATCCTTTGCCACATCGGGTGCTGTTTGTCCCCATGGCCTTGCTTATAGCTTTTGTGTCATCCTGTGCACCGAGGTAGAATCGTAAGTCAGTACATATATAAGCACAGAAAAACCACATAGTTAACACAACAAAGCTGGGTCAGGGTGTCTGGTCCTTGTACACAGGTAGAGGTACCTATGTGGTCGTGCGGGGGAGTGTGTGGAATGGGTTGGGCTTCTGTTTCAGCGCATCGAACTCACCGTAATGCCATCTCCCACCGCTCCATAATCGAGTACATTTCTGAAGATGGCCTGCATTTTGGTTAGCGGATGAAACATGCCGAACATCCGGGGAGTCCTGACAACAACTCACATAGTCGGGTTCATCTCCCCAAGGCACAGTGCCTTTGCGAGCAAGACTGTGACATTGCGATGTAAGCAGGCGGGCGATTTGCATTGACGACGGGAATGATTCAGAAAAGACTTACCTTTGCATCCAATAAGTCCCCGCGCTTGTCGTAGCCGCACGCTTCGTGACATTTTTCCATCCACCCAGCGAGTCGGCCTCTGCAACAAGGGCTGCAGCTGCTGCAATTTCATCCGTGATATCCAGAAGCGGCGGTACATCCTGGTCAATACCTCTGTATGCGATATTTTGCTTACCTACAACGCCACCTCCACCGACCATGGTCCCGGGCTTCAAGCTGTATTTGTTGCGGAGGGGCCGAGCCACTCGGGCCTTGTTCAACCTTGACGAGTCGGCCAGCGCTTTCTTCACGATGTTTCGTGCGGCTTCAAGATCTTTGACTGTCGCTCTTTTGAGCAGTGGTGTAACGTTTTGTTCTGGCATGGTCCGTGGCTGAGGAACGACATTCTCTGGTAGAGTTCTGGGAAGGGTCGCATTTCGGCTCCGTCTCGCTTGCTCTTCGGCCACCGCATCTTCTTGATCCCAGCGGTAGAAACGTTCCATACTGCGAGGCATGGGAATCGTTTCACCCAAAAGGTCTGACTGGAGAACCTAGACATATGTAGGTAGATATTCACGTCAGTTCCTAGATCGGGCATCCAAACAACCTTGGAGCTCATCTCATTTCCACTTACATTGTGCAGAGTCTCCGACAGATTGGCGTGCACCCGATGTTCATACCCTTCACCCGCCTCGACGCGGGCTCTAAGCTCTGCGGCCGTGACGGGCCTCGGGGGCCTGCCGGCAAATTTGAAGGTGCCGTTTCTTCCTGCTGAGCGTTTGTCCGGGCCGTTCTGGTAAATGAACTTCTCTTCAGGCCCATTATCCAGCATGACAGTGATGCGAGCGGCTATGCCATCCCAGGGTAGGGTGTCGCGCATCAGAGTGAAAAGAATGATGGATTTATACCTGACATATTGCGGATCGCTGCTGGCTAATTGTTCGAGCGCTTCACGAAGACGTCCATGAGCGGATGCTTGCCCTATTAATCATGTGAGTTAGCGAAAAATGGTCTGGAACTCAGCTAAAGTTTTCAGGTATGATGGAACATTGAACAGATAGTTCGTGATGGGCCTTACAGTCTTGTTCTGCTTTGGCATCAGCCGCGCAGCGAATCGCAGCACACCTGGTTTGGGACACGTTAAGGTACGTCTCGCCGCTTCCACCCTCAACCCTGATCAACATTGAACATGTTAGTATCAACAGCCAAGATGGTATTTTCTCGGTCTCTGCTCCATAAATCAGGGCAAAGACCAGCCATTGAAAATCACTCCTGGGAAGGGCAAAAATATGTACGCACCATGTGGCCGGTGGGAACTCATCACAGCTGTACCGGATATTGCTGTATCCGATCACGTTTCTGTTTGCATCCCTCCTGTGCTCAAGGGTATATGACCCTGGCTCTGTCGCGGACGTGAACCACTGGCCATCATGTCGCATAGGCCTCTGCTGATCGGTTTCCGGACAGTGGTGGGTATTTTTCCAGCTACCCGGACATGATGCGCTGCGACGGTTCTCCTGGCGAGTGTTTGCCTGATACTTGTTGGTTTTGCCTGTATCCAGATCATAGCCGTACACATTATTAGCAAGCTGGCTGTTAGGATGTAGGTTCTGTCCTCTTGGGGTCGCCGCAAAGTTGTCGGCATTCTTGCATATTTCCTTCATGTAGAAACAGTTGTATTGAAGGAACACCGCCGAGTGGAGGTCGATAACCGGCCATGGGGGAACGGATGAAATAGACCGGCTATAACCGTACAGAGTTAGCAACGGTAGTAGTAGGTAACTTCCCAACCGATAAGATAGCTGGGATGAGCAGGCAGCTGCGCCTTGGCGATACAAGTTTGTGAGGGGGGCAAAGGGAAACGGAGTGACTGACTAGGTGTATTTTCCGGTTGTAGTATCCTTGATGTAGTCTTGGATGTACTGAGCCTCGGCCACTTGAGGAAGGAATAGATGGAAGAGTTGCGCAAAAAGCGCAAGAAACTGCAAGACTACCATCTCTTGAGTGTGGCACAGTCAGCAAAAGCAGGTAGGTGTGTAGAGAACATGCAAAGAGCAAGAGTGTCCGCTGGAGTAACAGCAACAAGTGATGGTTTATCTACTCATACGATTTCTCATGTATCCAGTCTTACTGTCTTTACCAGACCTACCAAGGAACCTCGACGGCAGCTGGAAACGGACAATGGTGAGATAGAGTCACGAGCCGGCGCGTGATGTTGGCCGCTGTGAGATAGGAGGGTGCCATTCCTCCCATACAACTAATTCGAATCCATGCATGGCAGCGAACCATACTCCTAGACACCTCGTATTGGAGATAGAAAACAGATGGAGTTGTATTTCCATTGGGAAGGAGTACACTTGTGCATGGATGTAATTGATTAGCGTGGTACTGCCATTATACCATATTTAGAGATTGGGGAGGGAAAAAAACGCTCATATTTTGTACCTCAACGTAAAACAAGGTTGTCGTCACTTTGGTGTTCACTGCGCTAAGCTTCCGCATCCATGCAAAAGTGTATAGGTATACACCGGTCGAACAGGCGAGGCAGGACCGGAACGCGCGCGGAGATTGAATACCACTCTTCTCATGTTGTTCAGACATGTGAATGCGGAAACACGGCATTAACCTGTGGACGGAGAAAAGCCTAGACCGTCTCTGGTGCCCATGAGTGTGATATTTAGGGGCTTGGATGCATATTAAGCCCTGGTCGGGAAGAGCACATATTCTACAGTGTAGATGGATGCCTGTTTACTATGGGAATGCTGCTGGAGAAGGCCGGGCTTACTCGCTACCGCATTGTTTAGATTAGACAATACCACGTTTGCGAATCTGAAGAAACGTTGTGTGTGAGTAGCTGGCTTTTGGATGACAGGGCAGAATCACCATATTACCAAGGAGTTATGGATGAGTGGGATCCAAGGAATGGCCGGGGCAGAAAGAAGAGAGCTTAAAACCAGTTAAGTACGTACCAAATACGGATCCATTACATCACTCCTTGGTTACAAGGCTGCCCTTTGTCTGTCGTTGTCAATTTTGGTCATGGTTCATCAGTTCATCGTCGTTTGTTTGGCCTACAACGGAAAGTGGACGGAATTACCTGTACCTACCTACGTACCTCTAGATCGGAGAGGGGATGATTGTACAAGGATGGAGGGTTGCAATGGAGTAATGAGAATGCTTGAATGTAGAGGTACCCTTGAGATGGCAATGAAATGTTGAGATGATGGGAAGGATGTACCTACCTTCCTAGGAAGGTCCTGCGCAAGAACTTGGAAAGTTCCATCGGGAAGCGAAGCACGAAGGATGACTCAAGGAATCAGACCAGACTACCACTACCTTACGTATGGCAGCCAATCAGAGTCTACATACCTTTATGTTCATCACATGTTGCGTGTAGGTGATTTCTGGCCCGATCCGACAGTTTGGATCCGAAAAAAAAAAACTGCTAATTTGATGAGAAGGCCCGGTCCGTATCGAGCGCTTCAGTCAGGGCTCACAGCCATTGGCCGGAGGCAACTGAGGGCTCCACGAGATACCCTACATCAGATCAGGTACCGCAGGCTTAGCGGCAAACTGTCCCGACATTGAAGGCTCGAACTCGCAAAGTCTGAACTCCTGCCTACTTGGGCTTGTAATTAAGCAATTGCGTTTCTGTCCGTCTGTTGGCATTGCTAGTAGCATCGCTCCAAACAATAAGTACTCTGTCATTGCCGCCCATGTTCGGACTTGGTGGTTCTCGCCCAGAATTTTGATCCCGCATCTCATCCACCCAACCACACTCCCTGCCTGCCATGTATCTAGTACCCCAGGGAACAACATGGTATGCTCTTGCCCTCTTTCACTTTGCAAGCACAGTTCGCGCAAAGGATGAGTGCCAACCCATATACTGGGAACATGGCCAATTTGAGAAACGGACCTTAGCCAACACCACCCTTTCCGGCTCCCTAGCCGCATCGTCTACTACTGTCCCTCCCATGCCGGTCCCCACCAGCCCCCTCATCAGCAGTGGATATGTCACCCCGGGTCAAGTTAACTGTCGGTATACCGCCAGCACGGAAGACATGGACGTCAACTACTATACTTGTACTGCACTAGCCCTCAAATACGGGATCTCTGTCGAAACCTTCTTCAAGCTGAATCCGGGAGTGCATTCTGACTGCGGGAACATTGAAGCCGATACCGAGTATTGCGTGGCAGGCTGTAAGACACCCGCATGTCCTGGACGCCGATGATTTACTAACGTGCAGACTAATAACCACCGTCCGTCGCATAGTTATCGAACCTCTAAGAGCTTATGACGGTCTCTGTGGTCCCCCAAACAACAACGCTACCTGTCTCGGTTCGAAATTCGGCCAGTGCTGTAATGCAAAGACGTTCAAATGCGGCAGCTCTCCGTGAGTCCCCCCTTGTCATCAATATGGTCATGACCAAGCTGATGCCCTGTTCGAAATTTAGAGAAGACTGTGCAGACGGAACCTGCTACGAAGGCGCATGTGTAGGAGATTCTGTCTACACCACAGACGGCAATTGCGGCAGGGAGCATGGATATAAGATGTGTGCTGGTGTATGGGGCGATTGCTGCAACGCAGCCGGAAAATGCGGTACAGGCCCTTCGTTTTGCGGGTACGGCTTATGCCAACTGGGAAATTGTTCCCCTAGTCCATCTTTTCCATCGACAACCACCACCACGTCAAAAACCTCAACCTCAACCTCAACCACCACAACCAAACCAACATCCACCGGCAGCCCTAAAACCACTGCCTCGGTGTCCACCGCCGCTGCCAAAACGAGTTCGGCCACGACATCCAGATCAAGCACCGCGGCAACCACTATCAGCGCAAAACCTCCTAGCACTACAATTCCCGGTCTAGCTGCTTTGCCCTCATGTGGCCAGACGTGCTTCAACAACATGCTTGCTCAATATTCCACCCTGGGATGTGCCGCTCTAGACGGATACTGTCTGTGCAATAACGTCGACTTTAAGAATGGCATCCGGGATTGCTCAAACGGGGCCTGTGGAACTGCCGTCGGCAGTACTGTGATCGCTTTCGGAGATGCATATTGCTCCACGGCTTTCGCTACCCACATCGCCACGACCACCGGTGTGGCTGCTCTGCCCTCCTGCGGTCAGACGTGCTTCAACAACATGGTGGCTCAGTATTCGGCTCTGGGTTGCGCTAGTCCGGCGCCCTCTTGTCTTTGTGAGAATGCTAACTTTGGATATGGCTTGAGGGATTGCGCGAATGGCGCTTGTGGGACGGCTGCTGCTTCGAGTGTCATTGCTTATGGAAACTCGTATTGTGCGTCTGCCACGGCCGCTCACTGATTCACTGTGCTCAGTAGTAGGTGTAACTAAGCAGATGATGGCGCTTGTCTCAAATGTTCCTCAATGATTACATACTTTATGGCTGAAGCCTTAGTCATAGTATTGAATGCCCTCGTTGAAGGTGATGATGAACAAGAGAATAGAAATGTCCACTTAATCACCTATTCCTCGATGCATCTCTCGCTGCAAGTATCGCCGCTAGTGAGGGGGTCATAGGATGCACGGGACGATGCGCATACGGGATATGGTCCTGAATCCACTCCTTCTTTTCTTGTATGAAGAGTTCTCCCCCACAATGTTTTTTTACGTTTACCATCCATTTGTATCGCTCCGCCGGTGTATGGGCATTCTCATGTGAGAGATCCTTCGCTCTAAGAATATCGCCGCGCATGCTGATGAGCCAGGGATGAACGGCTGAGATTATGTAGGTAGTTAGCAAAGTCGAAGCCGGCACTTGGAAGAGACAAAACTGTACTTACCGCTGACGAAGTCACGGATCGTGACAAAGGACTCGCTGCCTGCTGATTGAGAAGCCGTGACCACCAACTTCAGCCCACTCTTACGAAGCGGTCTATCCTCTCCACAGCACTTGACGAGAAACTCTGTGTCTGAGTCCTCCTCCCAGCTGCCGTCCTCCTTCGGTTCCTTCGCGTAAGGCCGGATGTCGTCGTCAAGATCTCCGTAGGTGACGTACTCTTGGCCGAACTGGGGCGCATCGTGGTCCTCATGCCAACGCAGCCAATCGTACTCCAATTGATCGAGATCGTAGACCGAAGCTTCAAGAGACGAGACCTTTGGTTCGGTGACGGGAAGCTGCGAGATCTCGTGCCACGTGCCAGTGTCTGGTCGGAAGAATGGTTCCAGATCATCCTTTGTACCGCGCTCGTCCTTCATAACGGATATCGCGGTAGGGAAGACCCCATCGAGCTCCCAAAAGAGTCGCTCGGTAGCGGGAGAGAGGAAGACACGTACTTCCTCGTATTCAAGCTCCTTAAACGAGGGGTAGGGAGGTCCTTCTGACTGGCCTAATTGTGAAGTTTCCATTGTTCCAGTGTAGGAAGACTGGGGCTGCGAGATTGGGGTTGGCAACGCACAGTACCGTAGGCAACCAGGACCTAGGCAGTGAGCGCAGCACTTGGTCTGGTGTGCAAAGTGGATCTGGAATCGAAAAGTTTGTATGGTTAGTGAGAGCAGAGGCAGGCACAGAGCCGATACTTGGGGGATGGCAGGCGGGTGTCGAACCTTTCAATGTGGAAAGAAAGATTGGCATCTAGAACCCCCTCAAGAGGTAGGTACCTACCTGGTTAAATATTCGACAGTGGGAGGTATCGAAGGTGCTGGAAATGCCAAGGTTAGCCCTCAAAGGGAGCGGGGTACATCGAATGACCTGGGGCTGAAGGTAGTAGTAAGTTATCTCAGAATCAGACCTCTTTTTTAGGCATAGGCGGCCTGCGGCCCGTGCGCTTCGCGCACATTAGGAAAGGGCGCTACGCGCCCCAAAATTCAAATTGAATCTTTCTAATCTTTCACATTTGTAGTCCGTACATCTATTCTTTTAGTATATTTGACAGTATTAACTAAGAACACCCAAAAAAGAAGTCTAAGTTCCCAATTAAACAGGAATTGTAGAGGCTAAGACAAAATCACTAACTCCCTAATAAAATTCTACAATAATAAAATAAAAAAAATAGTTCTGGAACTTTAATAAATATAGGGAGAATCTACTTAACGAAGCGAATCGAATAGTAGAATTAATTTCTTAATACGGTTAATAAAAGTCCTAAATTTTTATATAAACGTAAAAAAATTAAGTATTAACATATATTAATTAGCCGACCAACTATTTACTATAATACTACCTTTTATCTCAACTTTTTAAAATTTTATAGGTATAATTATTATAATTATTATATCCTTCGAGTATAATTCTTTTTTCTTTACAATATACTATATCTTTCTCAGGGTTAGGGTTAGGGTTAGGGTTAGGGTTAGGGTTAGGGTTAGGGTTAGGGTTAGGGTTAGGGTTAGGGTTAGGGTTAGGGTTAGGGTTAGGGTTAGGGTTAGGGTTAGGGTTAGGGTTAGGGTTAGGGTTAGGGTTAGGGTTAGGGTTA